CCAATAACAGGCGATAGAAACTCGTTTTATCTCAACATAGGATCGGATTGTAATAAGGAAAGTAACGGAAAACAGAAACTCGATCAATTTCACCATCGAAACGGATGGTGAAGATTGCAATAATAGAAAACAGAAACTTGATCTTGCTCACCGTACAAGTGGTGGTGAAGACAGCAATAACTGATGACAGACACCATAATTTGATTGTAATTCATGATGTTAAGTTCTTTCACAATAGAATAGAATGATGACAAGAGTTTGAACAAGGAGCAGAAACTCGTTCTTTCTCACAATAGTAACAAGCGAATACAAGAGCAATAACAGACAACAAAAACTCGTTCGAACTCATCTAAGAAGAGGGTCTGGTTTGGGGGGGGTCCTTGATTTCTGTATTCTTTAATTTTTCAGGTTATTTTTCTCTATTCTTTATATCTTTGGCCATTATCGTCTATTCCTTATATCTTAGCACCCCATTATTCTCTATTCTTTATTATTTTGCCCTATTTTTCTCTATTCTGTATATTTTTGGCCCTTTCTACTGCAATTTTGTCCATTATTCTCTATTCTGTAAACGCCGTTCACACCCTCTTAGAAGTGGATGTTTAAGACAGCAATTATAAATATCTGACAACCGACATCATAAAAACGAATACTAATAATGTAAAACTCCATAGAAAAAAATGATGACATGAGTTTGAAAATGAATAAAGAGTCAATTTTGTGACCAACATTTCAATATTGACATATCTATGACGTCACATAGACAACCATAAATGAATTGTAAATATGAAAAGCAGCCTAACCCTTAAAAAGATTCTTAACGTCCTCATTTTTGTACAAGAGTTCGACTAGTAAAATATCATATTGGATAAAGCATTATCGCGATTTATTCGTCACCTGCATGACGTTAGATGACCGAAGCTGAAAATTTAAGACACAAATTACATCAAGACTAATAGATTTAACTATTATATATATTGTGATTATCCGAATATGCCTTTAGTATTTGATAGATTTAAATCACTTTTAACAATTCTCGAATTCAATGTGAGCTTTTCATAACGTCACCTTTAAAATCATTTATACGCCTTAAGATATGAAACGATATATTTTCATAAATATATATATGTATGGCGAATCGAGATGTGAATATATGAAATAAAAACAGAATAATTAGCCTATTGAATTTATTTCAGAAAGTTATCGTCGTTTGTATTCATTTCATATACATGTTAAAATGACATACAATTTTATTATTTCGTTTGGGAGGTGAACCACTTTGTAATTTGTCTTCCTTTTGTAAGACGCAGTGGCCTATAAAGTGTTATCACATGAAATACTCAATGAATTCTTATTTTTCTTGTGGAAGTCGTCAAGATCCAACTGTTCAGAAAAGCATAGAAATTACGGTGATTCTCTTAACAACTTACCGTATGACTCCTTACGTTTCCAATTACTTATACATTTCTGAAAACGTTAAATCCAGAAACTAATTTATAAATTGGTATTTTCATTTACTAACACTAGGTTGATACCTATGTTTATGGACTGCTAGTCATAGAGGACACCTTCAGCTTAGTAGTCAGCGCTTCAGTACGGACTGGATTTATAACATACCTTTTTTTAGATTCTCTGTTCATAAATTTTGAAATCATTAAGAAAAAAAAAAATGATCAGCTCCCTCAGCCAAAGTAGACCTTGGATGGCTTTGACTATTTTTTATGCCCTATTTTGGTGATACAGCTCCTCGCGTTTTTGAAGTACTTATACATTTTTGCTAGTGTTTTTTTGTTTTTTTTATTGTTTGTTCCTTTTGCTCTTTATTTCCAGAGAAGCTCTTCGGACGCAACTTATTCATGAACCGACCAAAATCCGGAGTGATCTAAGGTGCTCTGGAAGGGTAAGCATATTATCCTGCTTCACGTGTGACACCCATCTTGTTGCTCATGTATGTAAAAACCCGGTGATAAGTCTAACGTAGTCGGTAACATTCGAAGAAAAGAGAACGGGATTATGGAAACCACAATGGGAACATATTCGTCGTCAGTTGTGAAACAAATTATCCATAACGATCAACCAACTCGTGATATTGTCCGTAAAAAAATTAAAAATATAAAAATAACACTTTATACATTTTGTGCGGCCGAAGCGCTATCTTGATCTACCTTCATCCAGAACGCTTTTGATCTTAAAATTTGAAAGCCTGAGGATGTATAATAACATGATTACGTGAGAAACTATATGACTAAAATGGACCAAATTAGAGAATAGCAAAACAAATTCACTATAAGTAAACTTTGCCTGAGATTTTTCTTAATAATTTCTGAGAATTTAAGAAAGATATGCTATAAATCATGTCAGGAATGACGCATTTGCAGATTTGTGTGATTATGCGTAAAACCATTGTCAGCGACCATAGTAATATCATGGTGGCAATTTTCATTGATGAAAGAAGTCGGTGTACTAAAAGACCCACCGACATCCGGCAGGAAAACTGGCAATCTTTGTCAATAAATATCGGAGTCAATTCCACCTTGCCACGAATCGGTGTTCAAAGTCACGACATCGGAGGTTACAGGCTTTTTAATCAACGAAGATTAACTGCTAGCAATCTGCCACAGAGGCTTCCTGGAAGATATGGTATGAAAATCAACGAGAAAACACAATCATACTCAATTTAGGCGACAATAAATCGATTAAGAAGAATCAAATCAAGACAAGCAAACAAATACTGAATGAAGCTCATGAACTCCAAAAGGGACGAGATCGTATGTGTCGACAGGGTAAGCATCTCCTGCTATGTATACATCACCCGTCATGCGAATTCACAATCAAAATGTCACAATCGAAAATAAAACACAACCGGTAAAAGATGCAGATCAAATGAATCTGATATTTGAAGATCTTACACCACGAAAACATGTCACTAGTGAGTAAAGAAATCGACACAACATATCGGTCAACCAATTCGTGATGGTGACCGTAAAATTATGAAGTGTCGATTTTAGTCGTTCTTCCTCATAACCCAGTTGGAGCAATTTGTATGTTAAGAGCTCTACCTTTTTAACGAAGTTTGTATAGTGTGGACATGCACGAGCGTAAATTATTAACTGAAATATGCAAAAGCCATCTGATAATGGAACAGAGGGTATGTTACTGCTGAGAAATGGATAGTTGACAATTGAAAAGTAGAAATCATCACGTTTGTCATAGATTCTCGTTTCATTGCAGTCGTCGATCTGTGTCAATTTCGAGTAAAAGATCAAGATATAAAGTAGACCTTCTACTTTCGGTAGTATCCTTAATTTCAAGTTCACTAAGATGTATAAGACGTAGGCACTCATTGACATGTGGGTTATTCAGTGACAGGACATCACCAATATATCTGAAAGGGAAATCAAACAACTTTGCAAGATGCTTCTACGTTCACACATTGTTGTCAATATAATGGAATTTTATGCGACTGTCATACAGTGAGAGGTTTAGCTAGCTTTAAAACCAGGTTTAATCCACCATTTTCTACATAAGAAAAATGCCTGTACCAAGTCAGGAGTATGACAGTTGTTTTCCATTCGTTTGATGTGTTTGAGCTTTTAATTTTGCCAATTGCTAACGGACTTTCCGTTTTGAATTTTCCTTGGAGTTCGGTATTTTTGTTGTTTTACTTTTAACATTCGATATATTTGATGTGGGAATCAGTATGGTTCTTCACTAAGCAAAATTTTATCATAACATAAAACAAGGAATTTTTATCTACGTTTTCCCCAAACACAATTTGTTCTGATTTATAAGTAAACATGCGTGTATGATAATTGTACGATACATAAGTTTTAAAACCATTCATTTCAAGCTTTTTTATAACCATACTTCACAATAAAACTATATACAACAGAACGCCGATCTCAAGATTTATTTCATTGAGCAATAGTTGTTTGGTTGCTGTAGCATTGTTGCTTACTAAAATTCGCCTTTTATTTCTTTATTATCTGTCATATCCTGAAAATTATCCAGCAGTGTGCAAATGTTTCATTTGTCGTTTGAATTTAAAAAGCATAGATTAAATAATGTCGTCTGCTGAAGTGTTCTATTTGACAATATTTTATAAAACCCACCGACAATCAATAACAATGATGATATCAAAAAACACAAAAAAACGTTAAAGGCTAAAAAGAATAAAGTTAACATCAATTTACCTGGTTTATTAAACAAGATTCTTAATCGATGTAGACCTAAATTTGTATTTAATTTCGAAGCGAATAAATTACTGCAATCTCCAATTATAAATTGTATAAGTTCTTTTGGAAATATTTAAATAAGGTGAATAGACTGATAAATTGCATCGATAACTAGTTGTTTACCTCAAACGGTTCCTGGTTTACAAAGAGCAAATGCAGTCGTTAGAACAATCCGAAAGGCATAAAAAAAAGGATAAAGAATAATATGTTTCGAGCCAAAGCTTTTACTTAAATTTAATGAGAGAAAAAAAAAACAACAACGAGCACTTACCAACGATATAGTCATGCCGTATGTTCAGTAGTAAGTCTTAAGGGATAGTTACGTGTTAATTAAAAAGGTTCTAAGGGTTCGACACCAAAATGTAAGACATGACTAATTTAACAAAAAAGTATAATCTTACTGAGAAAGATAATGCCCAAATGGTGTAACAGTAAATGAGTGGCGAAAGATACCAACCTCATAAGTGGCGAAAGATACCAACCTCACGATGGCAAAACACACAAAACGATCAAAAGACAAAAAGTATTCAAAACACAACATAGACTGAGCAACACTAACCCACCAACAAAACGAGATGATCTCAGGTGCGGAAAGGTAAGCCGATCATGCTCTACATGTGACACCCATCGTGTTAGTGTAGAAAAGGGAACATATTTATAAAAAAAATAAGGAAATGGGGTATGATTGCCAATGAGACAACTACCCATCAAAGTTCAAACGAAGTGGATGTAAGCAATTATGCCTTTCAAACACAAATCAAATGACACATTTTAATTAATTTATTTATGTCTATAGGTAACAACATTTTGAGGCCCTCGTCATATTGACATATAAATACTATAATAGTTCAAATAAAACATAGCAATATACAGGTTTGTAAAACACCATAAAATAATAATATTTCATATGATCGTGTTGTTCAACTTGACAAGCATTAAGCGTTTATAAAAGCATATAATCTGATATTATGATAATTTCAAAATGAAGCGTTCATACGGGAATTCCATTCCGAGAAAATGGCCGTTCGAATGTTTGGGCTGAAAAAGTCGTAAAGCATTACATTTTCTTGGCATATTCCTAGTCTTTCTCACAGACAAATTAAGCATATCCAAGAATTTTAACAGCTAGATAGTCGATCACTTTTCTATTTGACAAAATAACACTGGTGAAAACCAATTACTCATTAATTGATATTTTACGCAAACGATATGTTGTTTATCCAAACATACCAAACTTTCTGAAGTAATCATCTGACTTTTGTGTATAAAATGAGATCAGACCCGGAGAAACGGACTATCTCGGAACTTCCGTTTTGTCGAAATTGTAGTGTATAGATAAATAAACAAATATGCACAATAACAATGTACCGTGGAGTAATTGGTCAAATATACCACCAGCAATCTGAATTTTTTTTGTGCATCCTGACTGACGGAATTATTTTAATCTGATTCATTCTGGCGCTTTATGACACGTCTACAATGTCTATCTGTGAGTTGAGAATAATTTCTAAATACACCCCAGAAATAGTCCGCAAGTTTATTAAAACTTCAACTATTTTTGTAAAAAGTTGTTCACAGTTATCATGATTTTGAGCAAATTGACTTTTTAACGCAAGACACAAAATATCTTCCATTTGTTCTAATAGGAATGTGTTCTTGTAAATATCCAGTCCTGGTCGATCTACAAAATAAAGAATAAAACAAATTATAGCAAAATATATATAAAAAAAGATACCGAACTCCAAGGTGAATTCCGAAAGGGAAGTCTATAAAACATGACAAAACCAAGCGCTCGACTATATCAACCAACGGAACGAATTGAAAACAACTGTCATATTCCTGACTAGATACATTTAGCAGTTTGGGTACAATCCGCCAAACGGGGAACTATTCCCCATATGAGTAGAAATCCTTCATTTGAGTAATCATTTGATAGTGCTAAAAACGAAATTCTTATAACCGAGTCTTTTTTTCTTAAAATGGCACATATTCATAAAAAATGCAGCAAATTTTCCAAAAGATGAATAGTCCTAACCTGATTTACTGAGAAGTTACAAGTCTATGGAAATTTCGAAAAATTAACTTTTTCAAGGCTTCTAACTTTTTGAAAACCCAAAATAAAAATATGGTTCTTTGGAAGAAGCTGTTCAATTTTCTATACATTTGTGCCATTTTAAGTAAAAATACCCAGTAAAGAAAATTTAATTTTTAGTACTATCAAATGATTACTCAAATGAGGGATTGTTACTCATTTGGGGAATAGTTCCTCATTTGGTGGGTTGTCCCCAACCTGTTTAACACACTGCACTCATTAAAGGTGTGAGTATGGATATGTTGGAACGTATACCTGTACTCGGTGAGTCTTGAAAAAGTCTTCAACTGTTTTATGAGCAGTTCCAAACTGACTTGGCTTTTTTCTGAACTGAAAAGCACTAGACAAGACGATTTGTGTCTGACCAATATGTCATAACAATAGAATATGTTTAAACTAAATAGGACAATTCTTAAAAAAGGAATCGATCAGTTAAACTGATGTCTCAACTGGTTTGTTCGATGATAATGTTACAGTGCGTAAAGTTCCGACTCATTCGGTTCTTGTACGATTCAGACTTGGTTCAGTTAATACTTTTTATAATTGTTTTACTGTTTATATATTGTTCGGCTTCAGTGCAGTTTCAATACCAGTCAGATGATTTAAATAATATTTAGACTGAATGAGACCAGTCGAGTAGAAAAAAGTAGAACAAAACAACATATAGAGTACAAATCAGATGCTTCACCTGATATTTATTAAAGTTAACTCCTCTCGATATCAGACATTGGCAACTACGTGCTATGAGTAAATTGAAATACAAATTTAAAGTGTCTTAAAACGGAAATTGACTGTCCGGAAAATCTGAAATCGTGTACAAGTCGCAATTCAGTATTGTAAAGTTCATGCCCAAATGTGCAAACTTATTTCATAATATAGAAGTTTTCGACAAATTCCATGCTCAGTATATATAATGAAAATTCAAAGTATCGTCAAACAGAAAGTGACAATGTTGAAAATTGCCTACACGGTACAACTCCATCGTCATTAAAACCCAGACCACATATCAAATCAATCTTTAATTCGGAAGTTTGGTAATAGGTGATAAATGTAATGAATGGATAAAATGACGAACAGACGAACGGACGGACGGATGGAAAAAGTGAATACAACTAATCACCTGTACCAACCACATCGTTAGAAGAAGCATTAAAGTTGTTGTATTATGCCTATTTGTAGTGTCAATGAAAACGTAAAATGGAAATTAATAAACATATTGTGTTTATGCACTTGATCATCTGTTTGAAATATTTCAGATAAGTTGTCCTACCTTGAAATTAAAAAAAAAATATGGTTAGAAACTGTATTTTAAAATTACCACAATACGAGGTATTCTAAATTTTATTATCAACTAAAATGAAAGTTGCTGAATATCGTGCAATGCACGCCTAAAGCATGCATGCCTCGTAACATATTGGTGAATGTTATATTGAGCGTCGTTGGAATGCAAGTAGAGGTATTTGTAAGATATAAGCATGGGATTGCAATTGATCTTTTTTATATTCAGAGCTTGTTGACTTTTTATATGTTCTTAAGAATTGAATGCTTCTTTTTGTAAATTCATTGGGGTGTAAAAAAGCGTTGACCGAAGTACATTTTGTATGAAGCGCTGAAGCGCTTCATTCTAAAAATGTACGCACGGTCAACGCTTTTACAACCCTATGAAATTACTAAAAGAAGCATTCAATACTTATAATTACATTTTTTCGCTATGCTCATGAAAACACGATTACTATCATTTTTTTTTCTTTTATTCACCTGTGCACTTTATTGCGGAAACGTGTGCCATCATGTATGTTACAATTCCTGAAATTCATTTTGAAATGAAGAATGACGCGAGATTGCTGTTAGCCAATCAAAATAACGTATAATAATGAAACATACATCTAATGTAATTATTTTCTGTTGAAGGGTTATTTTTCAATTATGTTATAATATTAAGATTTCAGAAGTTACTTTGAGGTTAAATACAGTTCTGAATACTAGTATCTATCTTTAATCAAAGACTGATCTGTATAACTTACCCGGTGAAAACAATACCATGGCAGCCATCACAGACAATTCAACGTCAGTTAATTCCAGTTTTTTTAATTTTTGAACTGAGTAGAACATATCTAATAGAAATTGTCCAAAAATCCCATACTGTTCACAATTCAAAATATCTACGATATATCCAAAACGGTCCAATATTTTACCGAAAGTGGTTTCATCGTTCCAATACAGTGAATGAATGACAGCTATTTCCAATAAACTTTGTTTCACAAGATTTCTCTGACTGTGCACATCTATTTTTTTAAATGGAGTCAAATCTCGCGCGAATATCGTTGTGAAGTGAACAATGGCTGGTAAGTATCTGGAACACAATATTTTTGTATCGTGCTCGCATGTGACCTCCAAAACCTTAATGAGAAAAGATATAAACAATTCAGATATGTCTCCGGTAATACAGAACAGTTAAGGAAATAAGCCAAACACACATGTTATAGTTTTTTTGTATTGATAACACTCTTAATGACTGAAACAAGGTCAAGTCAATATAAAATCTCCACCCCAATAAAGCTCTTTACACAGCACTGGTCATAAATTGTTACACAACACTGGGTCATGAATTGTTACACAGAACTGGGCCATGAATTGTTACACATCACTGGGTCATGAATTGTTACACAGCACTGTGTCATGAATTGTTACACGGCACTGGGTCATGAATTGTTACACAGCTTGGGTCATGAATTGAAAAAAAAAAAAAAAAAAAAAAAATAAGGATCCATTTTTTTCAGGCAAGTTGACCTTAGATGGACTTGGTTATTCGTTTAGACTCATTTTGATGATATATCTCATCGTGTGTTTAGGTAGATATACATCCTTGGCTTTCAACTGTTTGGGGTATGAACGTTCCGGATGAAGGCAAATCCGGATAAGCGCTTAGGATGCAACACATTTATAAAGTGTGATTTTCGTTTTACAATAAATGACAAAATTGAAACAATGTAATAATTCTTTAATTGTGCAATTCGTAAAGACCATTACAAAGGGCGTGTAATACAAAATTTATGTGTTTTCGTAAGGAAACAAGTTCTTATAACTTGAATATGTGTATAAATTCAAGAAACAAATACTAAAAGCACCTTGCAAAGCTCAAAGAATCAAAACATCGAGTGGATTGTGTTTTTCATTTCAATATCATATTGATTTCCTCAACACTAAGCAAAACGACTCACTATTATGTTGTCCTTGTACATTGTAGCGGTGTGAGCTGAATTCAAGTACGTTTTTTTCTTGAGTGTATAATATCAGCTTTAATATTTATGCCTGATATTTCAACTGTTTTACATTTTTCATGTAGCTTGCGGTTTTGGTTTTGCTTATTATTGAAGGCCAAACGGTGGGCAATAGTTGTTAAACCTCTACGTCATTTGGTATTTGGTTGTCAGTTGTCACATCGAAAATCATACTATATTTTCTTATGATTAAATACATGTACCTTTGCATGAATAAAATGAGATTTAAAGCACACATCAAGAATTTCTTAAAAAAACAGAAAAAATACAAAAGAAGGCTTTCACCTTTTTTTAGTGTTTTTGTAGAGTCAGACATACAGTATGTATCATTTTTTTTCAAATGCAACAGTAATGACTATATTACTTAACATACCCGGTAATTTTCGATTATAAAGCCATATAAGTGTCCTTTAATTCTCAACTTTTTGTTTTCTATTCTATATTTATATCAATCTTTGATGAAAAAAAAAAACAACAAAAAAGCTTGTGGTATCAAACTAATTGTTTTTTAAAAAACCTACATTTCACAAAGCATGCACATGCTCACCTTTGACTGCTGGTAACGACACGTCAATGCGTGAAACTCTTTGTTCGCTGCCATAAAACTATCATGAATTTTTAAAATCAATTCTTCTGTCCTTATCTGCTTGTCAATATCAATTTTGTCATGATTCTCATTAGAAATTTTAAATAAGTTAAATCTGGACGGCTTATCTTTCTTTGGACATCTTCCTAATCTTACAGCTAGAAATAAAAAACAGTTATACGAGTTAATTGTGTTACTATACATAAGAAAATAGAATTCTGATGGATTGTTTATATACTCAACGGCTAATAGCATGGACTTATTTGAGATAATTAGGATACTAATCAGAGATATCTAAGACCTTGATAACGGAATCATTATGAAAACCTAAACAATTGCAATAAAAAAAAAACTGTTGAAATAGCTATATCAGTACGATGTTAATTTGGGCGCCAACTGTAACAATAAGAAAAGTGTATTAATTGGTTGTGTAAATTTTTAGGATATTTGATAAACTTACATGATTAATTGATTGTTTGGTGTTTGATTTACGTTCAGTGACAAATATTTTATTGGTGTTCAGGAGGACACATTTCCAATATATCAAATGGTAATTATAGTTCTGTAAAGCTTGTCGTTCATGATAAAGAGCGGGAATTTCTTCTGTCAATAGAAATTAAAGTTTGCAAGAGAATTACAGAAATTTTAACTTTCATCATACAACCAACGGATCCCTGAAAGAACTGTTGCAAATGTTCCTTAACGTATAGAGAGCATCTCATTTTCGAGCTGACGTAGCTACGTAATTATATATCCCGAACAGCACAACCAAAATAGACGCCCCTCTCTGGAGTGAATTTTACTGCTAGATTGGTTAAATCCTGAGATGACCATATGTGAGGGTCTGGGGGGATTTAAAGAAAAGAGAATAATGGCAAAAAAATTATGAACAGAGAATAATGGTGTAATAAGTATAGAAAATAACCGTGGAAAATAAAGAATTAGGTAATAAAATAAACAGATATGAGGGATGTACAAATCAAAGAAAAAATCAACACTTAAATCATGTCTACGAGAATCTTACTTTTAAAGATAAAAATCCATAAAATATAGATAATACTGAAATGAAGGACCCTATCTATACCCTCTTATTTCTAACCCCTGTCTACTTAATTATGGGGTTCGTTAATTAACCAGAGTGTACAAAAAAGTAAAGTACCTTCGTGTGACATCCCTGCATCCAAACATTTCTTCATACGGCAGTATTGACATCTGTTTCGACTAATCCTCATGATCAAACATCCTTTCTTGTCGCCATTAGCACATGGCTTATATGTCAACTTTTGGCGGACTGTTCTTCTAAAGAATCCCTGAAAAAAAAGATATATTTTGCAGCTATGAAATGTAAAACAATACATCATAGAGAGTAAACATATCGCATGTGTAAATACTGGCGAAAACTGTTAATGATAGGTGATGGACACTTATATTTTTGTCGTGGTAATCCATGTGTTTACTTAGATATACATTCATGCCATTCAGAACTTAAGGTGACGACCATTTCATATTCTGGGGAGGGGCAGGATATTTTTATTTGCGGGTTAACTATTCATTTTGATATGTTGATACGCATGCCTATCATTTCCCTCGTGCTTAACGCCTTAACTGTTTCATGCATTTTTTGCTACAGAATATTCATTTTGATCCTGTCTTACGTAAAGTTCTTTATTTTCAGCTCCTCCCAGCTCTGTATTACGCTTTAGACAGTATTAATTGCGTGCTTTTTATTTTTCACTTTTTTAGTAATCTGTATTATAACATGTATATATGATAATCAGGGACAATGATAATCACAGTAACGTACACAATGCCAAGGATCTACAAGTAACTACATTGGCTGCACTAGTGTCTAGAATTATAGTTTTAATTTACCTTACATCCTTCACAAGAAAAGACGCCATAATGGAAACCGGAAGCCTTGTCACCACATATCTTACAGAGGATGTGGCCATCAGGATATATTTTCTTAACTGTAATAGTTCAAATTATTCGATTAAGAAAAAAACTTAAAACAAATAATCTGACAAATCATTGCAGCACGAAGGGTGGTACAAACTGAGCAGGATACCAGGATATTATGATAACCCTTGAACAATACTTTTTTATGCGACTGTCTAAGTTTTCGTGCTCTATTTTGTTTGTTTACATGATAAATTTTATACGGTGTCTATTGTAAAATAAAAATATTGAGACGTGGTATGATTGCCCATGAGACAACTATGCAGCAGAATTCAAAAGCAGAAGTAAGCAATTATAGGTCACCGTACGGCCGTCAACAATGCGAACAACCAAACCGTATAGTCAGCTATGTTTGTTTAGTTTCGAATGGGTTTGTCAGTGCCGCAAACGTATTCATTAAATATGATGTTTGATTTTAGTTTTTCCGTGTGTTAAATCAAATTCACACATCTTGCTTCGTTCAAGTCGTTTAAGATTAATTTGGAATTCGTTAAATTTCCACCACCTACGGCGTGCAATTTAATGTGAAATTCGATATTGGAATTGAAGTTATACACTGTTTTACGAATACCATGATTTGCTTACCAATTTGCATGTGCGACTTGTTCCAAAGTGTGATTGCGTGTTAGGTATAATGATTGATACCATTGTCCATAATTGTCAGGCATATATTTAATCTAATTTGATTTTACGCAGAACATCTGTGTTTATCAGAAACAGATGATCAATCTTGCAGGATAGCCAGGGTTACATAACCAATTTGATTTTAGGCCACACCATTTTAATATCAAATCCTGCTTCTATGTATACATATGTATGCCAACTTCGATGTATTGATTTGGCTTGGCCTTACTGCAATAGCAGTTTTCAATGGTATTTATAAACTCTGTATAGAAGTGGTAATCAACTAAATATTATTTAAACAAATGTGGTTTGTTTGGTGTATAACGTGACGTAGCAAATATGAGATGCATAATTGGACAAGCAATACGAAAACAAACATAGCTTTAAACATGACCGACAAGGTGAGTTGGATTGTTAACATGCGAGTCGTCGTGTCTTTGATCTTTGACCTAAATACCACATGCTTAACAGAGAAGCAAGCAAATGTTTAGGTCGCTATATGGTTTGACAAACGACCTTCAACATTCGAGACGAGCATGCTACCATGAGACCACTTAGTCGCTTTCAAAAGATAGTAAGGTCAAGGTCAGTAAATGGGCTATGTCACAGATGTTTGTAAAATTTTGCCAACAACTTTGGCTGTTGAACTATTACTGAAAAAACGAAATAATGCAGCATGATATTTAGACAATTTAAGATCGTTTTTTACCTATTTTATGTGTTTTCGATATAAATGTTCACTTATATTGAAAGATTGTCCACAAGAGACCATATGACGTAGAAAAAAAGCAACTATAGGTCACTGTTCAGCCTTCGACAATGATCAAAACCAATACCGCATAGCAAGCTATAAAGGGTCCAGAAATGGAAAATGTAAAACAAAATCAAACGAGAGAACTAACGGCCTGATTTATGTACAATACAATAAACGATTAACAACTATGATATACAGCAACACACGAAAAACACTCAGTCTGAATTCCAGTCTCCTGACTTGGGCCAAGCAGATTCCGAATGTGGCGGGATTAGCCATATTAGCGGGCACCCAACCCTTACTATAAAAACCCATTTACTGTACCTTGAACTGAACAAGACAACATAGATGTGGCAACCAGCAAATATTGGTAAACAATTATGTAGTAATGAGTCAGTAATGTGTACGTCTAAAAACTTTTTTGATTTTGGAAACATTGTTCTCTCCTCTGAATGTTCTAATACAATGGTATGGAAATATTGTTTTACAAGTGAACATATTAAATGAGGGTCTCGATGGGGGTCGATCATTTCTGTATTCTTTAATTTTTAGGCCATTTTTCTCTATTCTTTATTTTTTTGGACCTTTATTCATCTGTGCCCATTATTCTCTATTCTGTAAACTCCATCTAGACCCTCTTATAATGACTTATTCATTGACAAATATTCTTTATTATCGTATCTTATTAACATCGCTCTTCAAAACTTATTATCAAACCGTAATTTTATGTTGTTATATTTGAGTAATTGCCATGGGCGACACAACGGTTACTACTTAATAAACAGGATCTGCTTATCCCCCACATGCGCACATGAGAGCATAATACATGTTTTGGTGGTGTTCGAATTGCTGAGTCTTCAGTTGTCTATGTAGTGTAATGTAGAATTTTGTTGGTTTGTTAGCCGTTTTCCGTTGTTTGCCATCATGATGTAGGTTTTTCTTCTTTGGAAGGTTCTGTCGAATATTTTTAACATACGGATGTTGATTAAAAGTGTATTATCGTATTGTTGTCTCATTGTGTTTTCTGACGTGCAGTCTAACAAAAACATTGCAATACATGTATATTAAATAAGAAATATAAAAAGATTTGTTTTAAAGCTGGTGGAATTAATATCATTTAAACCAATCAAAACTGATTATTAATTCTTCGGATTCGCTTGCTTCAAATTTTGAAGACCTTAAAAAAAAAGCTTACAGCCTTCTCCTGAAGACTTTCGGAAGTATCACTCCATTTAAATGAAATCAACAAGTTATTTCCTTAAATGTCATTGATCGTCACAATCGTCCAACAATTTACAGAAAACTATATTTTTTGAGATTAAACAGAAGTTTCGTACAAAATTTAAAATATGCATTCCTCTAACCAAATTATTGGTATCGCTTGATTAAATATTCATTTGGAAAAAACAAATAAAAAAAATAATATTTCGCTTGCTCGCTCCAAATCTAATAAGTAAAAGTCTGAAGAACAAGTGACCTTATTGACATATTATATATAGGCTGCCATACCTCTTTTAGCATTCTTTGAAGGCCGTGAAGGAAATTTATTTGATTCATTATCTTTTCCAGTCAATGAACCTGTCCTGTCTAGAGTGTCGTCTGATGAAATTATTACTATGTCATCCTTTTCTGAATCTGTGAGATTCAAATTACTGCTACCTATGCTTTTTCCGGAAGTGCTTCCGCACAAAGAAGTTGTGTCACTTTCGCATGAATCAGTGTTTTCTATACTTTTTTCGGATCTGTCTTCATCTTGGAAACCTTTCCAATTATTTATGTTGGCGTTGTCTTTCGTCGCTATAGAACAATCAGTAAGGACTTCAGAGTTAAATGTTAATGGTTTAGTACCAGTATCTAAGACTTGCTGCTGAGCATGCATTGAGTCTGTCAATTGCACATCTTTATTGAAATCAGAGGTTTCGTTATTCAGAGGACATGAATGTTTGACATCAGTATTTGCTGCATCGGCTACTGCACCGCCTACATGCGCATTGATATGAGATCCTTCCAGTAATTTCTGTACAACTAGACCCTCGTCTTCAGTCATTCTTATCCTTCATATCAAGAAGTAAAGGTTACTTGTATGTGTTTGAATGAATAATTAAAATTTTCTCTGTGTATATACAGGAAGTAATCAGCATCTAGTCAACCTAAAAAATACAAAGCAATACACGAGGGTGTGGATTGGGATTAACAGAATAGAGAATAATAGGCACAAAAATATAAAGAATAGAGAAAAATGGACCACAAACATAAAGAATAGAGAATAACGAGGTGCTTAAATATAAAGAATAGAGAAAAATGGCCTAAAATAGATTAAAGAATACAGAAATGAAGAACCCCAATCAATACCCTCATACATTAATCTATTCACTCGAGTGTAAAAAGTCAACTACAAATGTAGGAGAGCTTGCCTAATATAGGTACGAGCTTTTAAATGTGCAATAAAACTTTTATATCAGATGTTATTTTCAATTTTATTAGGGGATTGGTTAGCATTAAACATATATAATCAACTTGTCTTTTTAGTCGTTCATATACAAAAATAAGAAGATGTAGTATGATTGCCAATGGTACAATTTTCCACCAGATACCAAATAACATAGACGTTAACAACTGTAGGTCACCCTATCGCTTTCAACAATGAGCAAAACCCATTCCATCCCTGACAATTTGGTCCATTTTTTCTTTTCATAAATATAACCTTCTGGGCTCGGCAACTATTATATATTAATTTCTTTTATCTAATTATACATTTTTCAAAATATATATGATCATAAACCTAGTAAAATAAACCAAACTTGCATTGTGTGTTATGATATTTTGTACTTCTTTAAAAAAGGTTAACTTAAGAATTTAACCTGAAAATATGTTATCACTTGGATTTTATTGTTTTAATCTTGATTATTAATGTTATTGTCATGTTAATTGCTTATGAGGGCATGGATGGGGTCCTTCATTTCTGTATTCTTTATTTTTTTCGCTCATTATTCTTTATCTTTAGAAATAAGGGCTATTCTGTAATTACTTGATAACTGTATTCTGGATATTGTTCTTTTCTGTATTCGATATATTTTTACCCAATTCTTTAACTTTTGCAGTTATTCTTAATATTTTAGCACCCCATTATTCTCTATTCTCTATTCTTTATTTTTTTTTGTCCATTTTTCTCTATTTTTTATTTTTTTCCCCATTATTCTCTATTCTGTAAACCCCATCCACACCCTCGTTTATGCCCTCTGGATACCTTAATTGGAACAAAATATTCTTCTTCTTCGTCTTTTCTTATATAAATAGGAAGATATGGTATGAAACTATCCACAAAGTACCAAAGGATATTAAGGATGTTAACAGTTATCAATCAACGCATGACCTTAAGCAATGAACTAAACCCACACCGTTAGTAAGCTATAAACGGCCCTCGAATGACTGTTTCAAAATTCGTCATTTGGATCAGAACATGTATGTGAGGGTATGGATGGGGGTTTACAGAATAGAGAATAATGGGCAATACATATAAAGAATAGAGAAAAAAATGGACCAAAAAAATAAAGAATAGAGAATAATGAGGTGCTAAAATATAAAGACTAGAGAATAATGTGCAAAAAGTATAAAGAATAGATAAAAATGGCCTAAAATGATTAAAGAATACAGAAATGAAGAACCCCTAACAATAACCTCATACATTAATCAATTCACTCGCGTGTAAAAAGTCAATTTCAAATGCAGGAGAGCTTGCTTAATATAGGTACGAGCTTCTAAATGTGCAATAAAACTTTTATATCAGATGTTATTCTCACTTTTATGAGGGGATTAGTTACCATTAAACATATATAATCAACTTGTCTTTTTAGTCGTACATATACAAAAAAGAAGATGTAGTATGATTGCCAATAGTACAATTCTCCACCAGATACCAAATGACTTAGACGTTAACAACTGTAGAACACCCTATAGCTTTCAACAATGAGCAAAACCCATACCATCCCTGATAATTTGTTCCATTTTTTCTTTTCATAAATATAACTTTCTGGGCTCGGCAACTATTATATATTAATTTCTTTTATCTAATTATACATTTTTCAAAATATATATGATCATAAACCTAAAATAAGCCACACTTGCATTGTGTGTTATGATATTTTGTACTTCTTACATGTTTACTTAAGAATTTAACCTAAAAATATGTTATGATCATTTGAATTTCATTGTTTTAATCTTGATTATTGATGTTATTGTCATGTCAATTGCTTATGAGGGCATGGATGGGGTCCTTCATTCTGTATTCTTTATTTTTTCGCTCATTATTCTTTATCTTTAGAAATAATGGCTATTCTGTAATTACTTGATAACTGTATTCAGGACATTGTTCTTTTCTGTAATCGGTATATTTTTACCCAATTCTTTAACTTTTGCAGTTATTCTTAATATTTTAGCACCCCATTATTCTCTATTCTTTATTTTTTTTTGTCCATTTTTCTCTATTTTTTATTTTTTTCCCCATTATTCTCTATTCTGTAAACCCCATCCACACCCTCGTTTATGCCCTCTGGATACCTTAATTGGAACAAAATATTCTTCTTCTTCGTCTTTTCTTATATAAGTAGGAAGATATGGTATGAAACTATCCACAAAGTACCAAAGGATAAGGATGTTAACAGTTATCAATCAACGCATGACCTTAAGCAATGAACTAAACCCACACCGTTAGTAAGCTATAAACGGCCCTCGAATGACTGTTTCAAAATTCGTCATTTGGATCAGAACATGTATGTGAGGGTATGGATGGGGGTTTACAGACTAGAGAATAATGGGCAATACATATAAAGAATAAAGAAAAATGGACCAAAAAAATAAAGAACAGCGAATAATGAGATGCTAAAAAATAAAGAATAGAGAATAATGAGGTGCTAAAATATAAAGAATAGAGAATAACGGGCAAAAAGAATAAAGAATAGAGAAAAATGGCCCGCCCGCCGTACATCCCCAAATCAATAACCGATTTTTCCTTCGAAAATCCGGTTAAAAGTCAGTTGAAAAAAGCAAAACTCATCCGATCGATACAAAGCAGAACAATCAAACAAAAACACAGACCGGACGTGGCAGGGTATTTATCCATCCCTCATCCCTAACAACAAAAAGGACACTAAGTACAGATCTGAGAGTACTCGCATTATCACAGTTGAGACTGCATTTGAATGTTTGTATTAAATAAAAAAGAATAAATATCGAGAAAAGGTTTAAAAAATTTCACAAAAAATGAAATAAAAATGTAATTATTCGGAGACTTAGCCAAAGCATAAGCGTTGGCTATGATTAATTGGGTAAAACTTATTGTGATCAATTCCTCATTATATTCTATTAATGAAAACAAAAATCAAGGGGCCAAGTCTTTCGGAGGGAAATCAAACGATTTGTGTTCATTCCATGGACACGTTGGTCAAACTCAAACCAATATCCACAGTTTCTATCTCTGATGATATTATTAAGGATAAATCTAGAAAAAAAACACAATACGGGTACAAATTCTATAGTTTTACATTAAAAATTTCTGCACCTTTTTTTAAAACGAAGTGGGTGTTCATTTACACACAGCATTGATGTATCTGCCTATGGTAACGAGCACATAAATAAATATAATATATGTTTGATGCATCTATGTGCATCAGAATGACGTCACTGTCTATTTGTTTTATAGACCTTGGTGTGATTCAGAGCATGCAAACGACAAAAACGTTTACATAGATAAGTTATTCATCAACTGTTAAACATTCTGCGTTTGTACATTTTATATAACTCGTATAATGAGATTTACATGCTTAGCTATTATTATAAATTGAAAGTATAGACCCAAATGCATAATTACTGCTTAATATGGATGATAAAATCAAACAATATATAATAAGTCAAACATAACCATGCAAAAGACAAATGACACAAAGAACAGATCAAAGAGTACCCACAGCTATCACGTTACTCGCAGTTACTGAAATCTAGTTCAAACCAAAGTAAAATAAATAAATAAAGTACAATGTTTTCTCAGACTATAGTATATATGAGAGGGCAATTCCAAGGATGTAATGCAAAGTCGTCATGCGCATCGACAGGAAAGACAGGAAATTTTGTAGATTAAAGAAGTAACACTGTTGTTGCCGTTCTTGTCACTAGTTGTAATTATTATTTAACATTTGAGCTAAACATAAACCTTAAGTTGCATGATCAGGGCAAACCTCGTTTCCAATTAAACTGAGTTATCAATCTTTAATGTTTAGTCATATCAGGTTTCCGGTTTAACCAGGGTTTTGGTATGTCTTATTTCCGGTTTAATCAGGGTGTTGGTATGTCTTATTTCCGGTTTAACCAGGGTGTTGGTATGTCTTATTTTCGGTTTAACCAGAGTGTTGGTAGGTCTTATTTTCGATTAAGCAGCGTGTTGTTAATTTCCCGTCTAATCAAAAGTCCGTTTTCCTGTTTTACTAATGTGTTGGTAAGTCAGGTGTCTGGTTTAAGTATGTGTTGGTAAGGTATTTTTTTTTGGCATAGAAGGGAATAGTTAAATCAGGTTTCCAGTTTAACCAGGGCCGTGTTTATAAATATGGTTTCCTTTTTAAGCAGGGTGTTGGTAGGTCTGGTTTCCGGTTTAAGCAGGTTGTTAGTGAGACTGTTTTCACTGAATATTCAGGCGATATTCTCACCAACCAACATTAATTCAATTAGCTAATTATTTACGCCAACTTATCAGGATTACACATCTTGTTCAAATATATTATTTCTTCCATGATACATTTTATTTTTAATGGTGGCATGGTAGTATTTATTTCCGGGAACCAGGTTGATCTTTTGTGTACCCTACTTAGGTCAATGTATCTGAATACTGTGATTGGACAAAAATACAGCGGCTTCTGGTCATATTTTACCAAGCTTTTGGAAGAACCAGGTATAGAAAAATATGAAATTATTTTACATACAAGTGAAAATTATTTTTTTTTAAATTTTGTATTGACTGAAAAAGCACTACTGGTCTAAGGTTTATAAAGATAGCAGAAAAAGTAAACTGTCGTCATACATGTTCAAATATATTTCTGAATTTTATAATGAAAGTACTTGAGTTTACTGTGTATGTAAGTTCTGGGTCAGTGTTAGAAAGTGGGTGAAATTCTAAAAAGTGCATAATTATTCCTATGGCCCAGGAAATATTACCGTGTCACCTATATACAATGACATGTAAACGTATGAGTAATATGAATAAATAAAAGACGATGTGTGGTATACATTTAGTGACACAGCATACCAAACAAAGAGGGTATTTTGTTTCATCTCATCACCCCGGTCAATGGATTATCAAAAGTACATAAAATATCGTAACATAAATATAGTTTTGAAAAAACATTTAATAAATAACAAAAAAAAAAAAAAAGAAAATACAAGCAAAACAACAGTAATAATTTCATATCAAAGTACGCCTGCAGGTACTTCACCTGCTGATGTGAGGTCATGTCATCGTACACTCTATTCACAGTGTTTGACAGATAAACACCAGCGACACACCATATATGATAGCCCGAACGCAAGCAACACATAACACAATAGCTTACCACTAGCAACATAAGCATGTTTGGGAAACACCATGAGCACATTGCAGTGTAGCTTAAGGATGTAGTCATCTCGGGTTTAAGAGTTTTTGTCAGAAGTTCGGACTCCTTGGTTTTTTCCCCTACGATACAGGCTAAAATATTTGCTCCATATCACACACTTTTCTTTTCAAATAAAACTTCAATAGCTCATAAAAGGTCATTACTAAAATTTAAGCAAATTCTAGATTTCTTTTCTAACAGTTTGAGAACCAAATAATACCAATGCTAACTATAAGGTAAAAGTCCAAGTCAGCCTTTTCCTCGCCATTGTTTTAAAAATCAAATATCTCGAGTAAGGAATTCCATAACCTATCAATATTTTTAGCTTATTTTGTTCCTTAACTAATGCTCTTCTGATTTATAAAACCAATTCTAGATTCCAGATTTTTTTATTTCACCTGACTACATCCTTAAGACCAGCAACAAAAAACCTCACAGTTAAATACAACATGAGACATATCACATAATTGCTAAACACAAGCAGCTAGCAACGTTTCAAGTTAACACAAACAACACAAATCAGTATAGCTATACACAAGCAGCTAGTAACGTTATAAGTAAACACAAGCAACACAAATGATTATAGCTAAACACAAGCGAAAACCAACACTAAATATATAATCCACATCGACTTTTATTCATACGTTTACTTAACTTGCTTTGTATAGATGTCAGTACACATTAAAATAGAATTTAACATGAAGGCCGTACGGTGACATATAGTTTTTTGTACCTACGTCATGTGGTCTCATTAGCAATCACACCACATCTTCTTATTTTTATAAGACATAATACATTTTAATTAAGGCGTAATCCTGCTGAGTTGACATACATGAAAAACATTATATGATATGATAATCATCAGCATTTTACCACTTGTTACTTTCACACCTGCAACCTTCCAAATGACACCTAAACACCCCCAACTAAAATGTACTTTCGTTTGATGTGTTTGAGCTTTTGATTTTGCCATTTGATTAGGGACTTTCCTTTTTGAATTTTCCTCGGAGTTCAGTATTTTTGTGATTTTACTTTTTTTAGACATAATGCTAGGGTGATACCAATAAGGAAGGAGGATAAAAACAGAATTAGAAAGAATGTAAAATGGGGGGGGGGGGACTTAAAATCGGGTTACAGATATAAGACCTGTAAAATAAAAGATAAAACGGAATCAGACATAATGTATTGTACAAGATTGCAACTATCTAACTCTAAGAACCAATCTATTCGTACTCTTTTGTTGCAATCCGTACAACAGATTCAGTAGATTTTTCCGTGATGTAATGTAGGAGGGTGTAGATGGGGGTTTACAGAGAAGAGAATAATGGGCACAAAATATAAAGAATAGAGAAAAATGGACCCAAAAAAATAAAGAATAGAGAATAATGAGGTGCTAAAATATAAATAATAGTGAATAATGGGCAAAAAGTATAAAGAATAGAGAAAAATGGCTTAAAAAAATAAAGAAGACAGAAATGACCCCGATCCAGACCCTCATGTAGAAGACCCACTTATATAATTAAAAATGACTAGTAAGTAGTTATAGTACAAATGTACTATTTAGTTATAGGTTACGTGTATAAATACATTAATTTACTGATATATTGTACATGTACATAATAAGTATAGTACAAATGAACTATATCATAGAAATAAACTTCTGAAGAAAACAAATAACACAATAAAATGTTTCACAAATCTGTTACAGAATATGCAATAGGTTTTGCGTTTCATAAATCAAATTGCTTTTTTAATGTCACGACTGTTTTCACAGTTACCATGGCTATGATTTTGTCTCGGGGGCATTTCAGAGATTTTTAAAAATTTGTCTATCAATTTATGGGTTGTATATGTCTTGACTAAACTCAAAAACAGCAAAAACCTTTGACTATGAACAAATACTATTTTCCAGACATATTTGCCTGGGGAAAATGAACAAATACCTCACTACGATTGGAAGCGCAGATCCAGATTCCTTTTAAGAGGGTCTGGATGGGGTCCTTCATTTCTGTATTTTTAATTTTTTTTGCCATTCTCTCCATTATTTATGCTTTTTGCCCATTATTCACTATTATTTATTTTTTAGCACCGCATTATTCGCTATTCTTTATTCTTTTGGTCCATTTTTCTCTATTCTTTATATTTTTTGCCCATTATTCTTTTCTCTGTAAACCCCCATCAACACCCTCTTTAAAAGGACAGTTGTAAATGCTTTGATTGTAATACTTTATGAGCTTCTAGAAATATTTTCACTATGTATTATTGAATAAGAAATAATGGTGCATTTTGGTGTATAAAATCACTTAAAATGTGTATTATTTTTCGGTTCCGTACAGTATTAACATATGAGCTGCGTCGGATAGAAATCGATCATATGCAAGTGCACGTATACATGTGCATGTATAAGACTTCGATTGATTTTGGAACATTCAAATACGAAACAAAAGATGAACTTTTCATATTTCAGTCATATTCCTATAAAAACCAATCATATCGTGTAACTGTTCAATCCTTATGATTGACCGTAACATTGGTACATTTCTATTCGCCTGGTATCCCGGTCAAACCTTCTCTTTGCGTCAAAGTCAAGTAGTGAGCCAGGATCCCATGATGCATTTATACTGGCAATCAAAATGTTCACCGAAACATTGTATACCGAATAAAAAAGCATCTTAAATCTGTATTATAGAAACTAAATTAATGTCATTCTGTAAAACTTAGCCTGTACAATTAAAAATCATGCATGTTTGATCCAGGCAAACAGTAGATGTAAAGCTTATTTAATTTAAAATTGATACCATTGGTGTTATTACTACCACTGGGTCGATACTTATGCTGGTGGACTGTCCCCCCGAGGGTATCAGTAGTCTGGTAGCCAGTTCTTCGGTACTGGCCTGGAAATACGGATATATTTTTTATCTATATTTGCTGTTAATTTTTTGTCGCAATCATTCTAAATTAAAGAAGTTAACTCCTTCATGCATAACTTTGATTACTTATCCCAATGACGAGACAATTGTATTTGACATTAGAATAACAACAAAATATTGTTTAATTTTGAATTTAAATTGACAAGAAGATGTATGATAAAAAGTTAAATCACAAAAATACTGAACTCCGAGGAAAATCCAAAACGGAAAGTCCCTAATCAAATGGCAAAATCAAAATCACAAACACATCAAACGAATGGACAACAACTGTCATATTCCTGACTTGGTACAGGCATTTTCTTATGTAGAAAATGGTGGATTGAACCTGGTTTTATAGCGCTTAACCTCTCATTTGTATGACAGTCGCATCAAATTCCATTATATTGACAACGATGCGTGAATAAAACAAATAGACATAATAGGTAAAAATGTAAAATAGGGGTACAGCAGTCAACACCGTGTCACAATCTTAATCACAATAAAAACGAACAAATATTTAACAAAGAAGTACAAAAAAGCATACATGTATATTACATTTAACAACCTCGTTCATTGCTTACTTATTTTTGTATTTTATCTATCATGTATGCCAAGTCGTTTTCTTGAAATCTAAAAATATAGTAAAACCCATTAATTTTTTTCAAATTATGTTAATTTCATTCAGTAAATGTAAATTAAATTGATATTACAAGAGTGACACTCTAGTACACAAATGTCAATGGTCTATTTTATAACCGACTATACGGTATGGAATTTTCTCACTGTTGAAGGTCGTACGGTTACATGTACCCATAATTGTTTATATCCACTTCTTTTGAACTTTGCAAGCCATTTCAAGAGTCATATTTTATTAAAATTGAAAACAAGATCCGAAAAATAAAATATTTTCGCAATGTTTGCAGTTTAGCATTAAAACTGTAACTGTTTGAGGCACTGATGCAAATTGAAATATGTAAGACAAATTATAAAACAAAAATCGATATCTGACAAAATAGGCTGAAGATCCGGATATAGAACAATCAAAATAATAAATACAAGAAAAACGGACAAAACCATGACCACAAAGAATAAAGGCAAAAAAGATAAACAAAAGCCTATAAAATACAATATAGAGAATTTTAAACTTTGCAGCAAAAAACAACACCAACAACCTGGGGTAATCTAAATAAAGACAGTTTCTCCGGAAGGACAGACGAATAATTTTCAATTCTTTGGAAGTCTGGGGTGTATTTTGATATAGATAAACCAGAGTCTTGATGGGGAGTCCTTAAATTCTTTATTATTTAACTTGTTATACCATCTTTTATTCGTTAGTTTGTTTGCCCTTTATACTGCTCTCTTTGCCCATTGTTTTCTATTCTGTAAATCCCATCCAGACCCTCAAACAATAGATATAGGAAGATGTGGTATGAGTGCCAATGAGACAACTCTCCATCCAAGTTACAATTTATAAAAGTAATACTTGTTTTTATCAAGAAGGGCAAAAAGGAGCCCGACCAGTCATCTCACTTAGAACATTTATTTACGATTTGAAAATGTAACTCGGACAATTTATTAAGTTAAATTAAAGAAAATAAACAAAATAAACAAAATTACGGAAATGTCAATTTGAAATTGTATTTGTCATTGACGTATATAAAAAACGAACAATGGAGATTGCTATTGTGACAGATGCAGAACAATGTGTAGGTGGTGAAAGATCTGTTATGAATATATTCATCTCCTGGTCGCATCGATTTTTACAGCATAAAAAATATCAATCAGTGTCTGAAACAATTTTATTAAGTTTATATAATCTTATTCTATTTGGCTGGAAAGTTATAGTCTTGAACCATTTGTTCTTCTGTGTAACAAGTCGGCTTTAGTTCTTACTGTTTTGTTTCAACCAGCAGCATGGGTATAACAGCTAGGGTTGCCTCCCTTGAATACTTTTTTTAAAATTTTGTAAATTATTGACAGTGTTCAAATCAGAGACAATGTTTTATGAATAACTATTGTTATACATTTTAATATATGAGGGTCTGGGTGGAGGTTCTTCATTTCTGAGTTCTATAATTTTTAGGTTATTTTTCTCTATTCTATATATATTTTGCCCATTATTCTTTTTCTCGATTATTCTATCATCTTTATTTTTTTACCCTATTTTTCTTTGTTTTTTATTTTTCAGGTCTATCTTTCTGTACATTTGGTATATTATTCTCTATTCTATAAACCCCACCCAGACCCTCGTATGTTCTCTCAAGAATTTGCCACATATTGTATGAAAATAACATTTAAAAAATCCATGTTAAAAAATCTGAAGTGATCACGTGTTTCAAATTTTGAACAATGACAAATGTTTGACCATGACTTCAGGGATGTAAAGTTATCTGCATCATCGTTTGTGGCTTTAACAAAGAAAAAAAAAATGATTAACTTTTAATTCAAAATAAATTCATATACAATATTTTATATTTCGTCCTCGTCCGTGACGGTTGGTTTGTTATTTCGACCCTAGAAAACTACAAGTAAGAATTTTATTTTCAAAGAATGAATTTTCTCTTATTCGGGACAGCCATTTGTCAGGGACTTGAGATTTTTGAAATAAACATTCTTGCCTGGTGAGAATGAAAAAAAAATAATAATAAAAATTAGTACAGTTGGGAAAATGATGTTCTGGCAAATATAATTGTGTATACTGAAATCGAAAAAATTTTTTGCATGCCAAAACAGAATTAGGTGACAGGCGAAATGAAAAGTCTGTACGCAAAAATAGTTCCCCTCCCCACCTTTGACAGAAAATCGAATAGTCGTTACCTCAAAAAATAAATGATATATAGATGTTACAATGGATCGAAGCAATAGATCTTAACCAGATTGAAAATAGGAATCCCCAAAATAAAACATAAAAAATAAAACGTATGACAACGATCTGCATGCGCATGACAAATATTCTCTGTCGGTTACGATCATCACCAAACGAATCAAAAGTCAGTCTAATTAATAAAGCGTTTGTTAGCATCTACGTCAAGTTCAATCGAAACCGTCTAAGAATGAGTTGCAACCTTAGCGTAAAATATGTACAAGTCCATAATTCATATATGAAATTATGAAAATTAAGTCTTAATGCAACATTTGATCATTTGAAAAAGGAAAAGACGTTTACTTATAAATAGTAATAAGATGTGGTATGATTGTCAATGAGACAACTCTCCACCAGAAACAAAATAACATAGACGATAACACTGCATAAAGAAACTTATAAACAAACCTAAACTGAATTCAGGCAAGTGTTCCAATATTTTAGTTTTCCATTCCTTTATAGTTGTATTAAGAAAAGAGAGGAAAAGAAGTAAAATCTATGTTTAAGTAAAAAAGTTGTAGAAGTATAAAATACCTGCACATGTGTAAAGGTATTCACGATATACTCTCTCAATATTGATCTTCATAGTCAATCACAATGATATAGTATTCAAACATTTTCCCGTGCAATAAGATGTTATAGATCAACATACTTGTAATAAACAATTTCAAAACGATGAGTTATTATTGATATTAATCCGACAATATATATGTTTTCACATCAAACAACCGATATTGGAGGGTCTGGATGGGGGTCCTTCATTTCTGTATTCTTTAGATATTTAGGTCTTTTTTCTCTATTCTTTACATTTTTGCCCATTATTTTCTACCCTTTATATTTTAGCACTCCATAATTCTCTATTCCTTAAATTTTTTGCCCATTATTTTCTATCCTTTATATTTTAGAAATCCATAATTCTCTATTCTTGATTTTTTTGGGCCTATTTTTTCCTTATTCTAGATTTTTTTGCACAATTTATGTAGTATTGGCTCATTGTTATCTATTCTGTAAACCACACCCAGACCCTCATCCTGTTGTAACTGATGTAATTCTGTATATCCAATTGAAACTTGATACATATGTTTTACCTGCTGTTATTGTATGTAACATATGCAATGTGGGTGAATGTGTTAATGCAGCAAGCTAATGTGTTAATCAAATGAAAGTTTCTACTTGAATAATAGTAAGGCAAATGTTAGATTAAGTGTTGTTTCTTTTACGTCCAGTGGCAAATACTTGATGTATAATAAAAACGAGAACAAAATAACAGTTGTTATATTCCTATGCAGTGTAAAGGAGGTGGACTGGGGTGAAGACATGAAAGTTCCACTGCCTCTGTAAAATTTTAAACAGGGGAAGACATTTTGTTTTTCAAAAGAACATGTACGGGTCCCAACAAAAAGCAAAGGATCTTTAAATTGAAGAGAAGGTTCATTTTTTTAAAGTCCTATTTTTTACATTATGCTTAAATAGTTGGTAAAAAAAGTAAAATATATGGTAGTTATATTTGATTTGACTCACATAATTTTTCCTTATTTAACTTGTTTTACGTTTGTTTGGTTTTTTTTTTTGGTTTTTTTTTGGCTCTCGAGCTCAGACCATTGTCATATCATTTTATCATAGTAAACATGCATAATCAACAGCTTATATTTTATTTGTTTTATCTTTTTATTGATTTGGAATTAAATGGGTTAATACTATAATCCTTCAACCAGACGATCATGCAGTTATAATAGCAAACATATGTCAAATATATTAAATCTGTTCAATGATATTGAGTAAAAGAATAAAAAAAGGTAGTAAAGGCAAAAGTATCATAAGTCAGAGAATTTGACGGGCTTAAATATTTGTGTGATTATTTGGTCATCCCCTTCTAACATAGAAACCAACTGTCAAATTCAGCTGAAAAGGGCTTTTCTCCTCAGTTTGACACGAAACACAATAAAAAACTAACATATATATAGAGACAAGAAAACACAAAGTATCGACCAAAGGTACCTGCGGTGACTGAACGCTAGTCCAAAGCCAATAACCGCTAAAAAAATAAATCATGTTCTCCCAAACTGGAAAGTTATCCTTGTTCATTAGAAAAGTCAATGTATTCTGTATTCCTTTGATTTGTGTCATATCGATCCATATGTACTACGTTACTATTTTCGTAAAATGTCAGATTTATAGATGTTCATAGCTACAGTCAAACCTGCTTAAGAGACAACCTGTTTTAAGCAAAAAGATGTGTTATAAGACCATTAATTTTAAGTCCCTCTGTAGTGCATTTCATATAGATTGAACTTGTATTAAAAGACCATCTGTCTTATGAGACCACTTTTTTGCTCTCCCTTAACCGGTCTCTTAAAACAGGTTTCACTGTATATGAAATGGGCTTGAGTGTGTCTATTTAATCTTCTGTTATGTTATATTATTTACACTAAAAAAAATATATATATATATAAAGTTACATTCTTAGGCGCTTATACATATATTCTATATATACATTTGACCTTATGATACATATTAAATGTGTTTAAATGTGTAAAAATAATTCTTGAATCTTGAGCCAATGAGACAGCAACCACCCGATGTCACAAATAATCAAAAGACATGCAGAGCGCAACAAAGATGATTAATCGATTTTTACTCGCTTAACGTCCAGTTTCAAATATGTCATGCATATTCAGGACGAGAAAATAATGATACAATAGGTAGAATAAGCAATAATATCCACAGGGATGAAGGGTGATAAATTTGGATTGCCACTGGAAAATGA